TTTTTTTTTTTTTTTTTTTTTTTTTTTTTGAGACTTGAACCTAGGACCTTCACATTGAGCTATATCACCATTCTTTTTCTTTCTTTTTTTTAACTTTTGAAACATGGTTCCTCTAAATTGCCTGGACTGGATTTGACTTTGTGATCTTTTGCCTCAGCCAGTCAGAGTGCTGAGATTACAGGCCTAGGCCACCATATCTGGCTCACAAATCAGATTAAAAATAAGTTATTGCTGAGAGGCTAAAGTGGGTTCCAGCCCAACCCGGGCAACTTACCAACTTTGAGAGGCCCCATGTCAAAATAAATTAAAAGCTGGGGTTGTAGCTCAGTCCAAAGTCTCTAGATTCAATCCTTAGCAACACGCACGCACACACACACACACACACACACACACACACACACACACAGGTTAGGTTAGTATTTCTGTGGGAGAGTAAGGGTTAATAAAAAAAAAAAGAATCACAAACAAAATCTTAAATTGACTGTGGCAGGTTGCTACTTGATATGGACATTCTCATAACTTTGTTCAAGACACAATTGTAGGAGTCTTTTCTGCTTTAGTCTATGGACTCTGCAGGCCCTTTCAGCAGCAGACAGACACTGACCAGAGTTACCTGGCTGGGCACTACTTTCAGCCATGCTGTGATTCTCAGTTCTTTTTGGGATTGCCTTCCTGATCTATTCTGGTGTTTTCCCTTCATCTTCCCAGGCTGCACTGTTGTTCTTCACCTGTGTTCACTTTGTCTCAACATTGCTGGGCTATGGAATCTCAGCTGAGGTTGCTTGTAAACCACAGTTGGACTCCATAGATTCTCCCTAGGCCCTCAAGCCCTGACCCAGCCTTAACTCCATTTCTCCTTTGCAGGAAAGTCCCTTTAGCCTTATACTTTGATTTACTATTTGGTGCAGGTACACGAGATCTTGAAAGTAGGAACCATAGTGAGACTACCTATATTACAAGAGTGTGCCACCAGGGCCAGCACAAATTATTACATTAGACTATAAATTATCTAAAATTCTCTTCTTGTTCATCAGATACATAATATAGCAACATAACACCCATTGATCATAGCAATATCTGAACAGTGTGTATCTTTTGTTGACAGTTGGACATTTTCAGAGCATTGACCCTGAAACTCACAGTCTAGAGATATGACTTGAGACCTCTTTCACCCACTTAGTTAAAATATTTAATTTGGGGAATATATATATATCTATATCTCTTACAAAAGCATCACACATCTCCCAAAGAAGAGCTTACATTGACATATATGTACATACTTTGATGTCTAGATATTAAAACCTAAGAAGTATTCTACTAGAAGCACCTATTTACAGGAGACATTGAATTGCCTGTGTATGTAATAAACAGATTGTTGTAAGCTAGGTTTTGTGGTGCACACCTGTAATCGCAGCACTCAAGATGGGGAGGCAGGATTTTGAGGTCAGTCTGGACTCAGTGAGACACTGTTTCAATGAATGAATGAATGTAGATTATTGTAAAATTAAAGCATAATTTAAAAGTTTAGGAAGATAATTTTAAAAGCCAAATGTAAATGGGTTTTACATATTCTGTGACTTGGGAATGGATGACAAGAAAGATTGACATCAGTCTGAGCTAAATTATTTGAATGGCATTATTTGAGTGTGTGTGTTCCTAAATAGAATGTGAGTCAGTCAGCTCTCTTTTCACTCCTCTTTTCTAATGCTAAAATTTTTATGACCCCAGGTTCTCTAATTTTTTCTTAATTTGTTAAATTGTCTGTTTAGGATTAAAAGTAAAACAGCTTAAAAGCACTAGTTAGAACATTACTTTGCTTTTCAATCTCTAATCACTTTCAGTAGTCTCCTGTTCCCTGATGGTATTTCAGTATTTTAAGCACAGTGTCATTGTCTCATGCAGCTATTGATAGATTATTTCAACAACTGAATATTTGGGGATCTGTTTTTATTCTTACTTTTGGTAGCTTGATTTCTTGTGTGCTTTAGGGTGTGTGAGTTGTTTTGTTCATTTTTATTTTTGATTTAATATTTTCCCCATTGACTTGCTCATTATCCTTAAAACTAATTTTGGAGGCATTACTTAATACTGTGGATGAACGTGCCTTCTCTGGAGAGAGCTACTTGCTTCTGCCAGATACCTGTGGTGCTGTCAGCCTGAGACCACCTCACATCTAACCCTCATTATTTGGGCTGCTGGCCTCACAGGTGGGGGAAAGCCAGGCTGCAAGTCCAAAAGGGCTGGCTTCTGGTCAGTTCTTAAAACTCAGGTTTCTCTCCGCTTCCCCCTCTTCTGCCTCATGGCCAAAGCTAACTCTGCAGGTCTGAAGAGTGGGGAGAGTTGCTTCAGGTTCACCTCCGGACAAGGAATGGGGACCAGCTCTCTGTGCTGAGGGATCTGACTGTGGTGCTGTTGCCCAACTTCTCTTCTTCACTTTTCCCTAGATTTTTCTCTGGTTGTTTCTTACTATCTTGCAACTTTTGTTTTTAAGGAAATTTCTTTTGATTTGTTTTATCTGATGTTTACAGTTGTTTTTCACTAGGAGGATTGGCAGTTCTGAGACATTTCCATGGTGGATGACTGGGTTGCTTTAAGATCATACCAGTGGGCAGAGCCTGAAACTCCTGAAAACCACTATTTTTATTCCAACCCAACACTGCCTTTGGAGCCTTTTGTTACTGAGTATATTCTTAAAATTATGAATGAAGCAGGCGTATATTTAGGACTTTAAAAAAATGTTAGTACTTTTACAAAATTATTTGGACCGTTGGCTGATGTAGATTAAATTGTTGCAGCTGTTTCCAGAGATAGCATTTTAAATGGTAAATAATAATTGTAGCCTTTTTTTTTTCTTTCAGCTGAAGTGAGTAGTGAGTATAGTATGGACAAGGCAATGGCTGAATTTGTCATGATGAATCGGGAACTAAACCACTATGTTATGGCTGTTCAGTCTGCAATCGGTCATGTAAGTTATGTAACTCATCTGATTAGTTTTGGTTGTAACTCACCTACAAATAGAAATAAAACAAAAATTCTCTTCTAACTTTTAACAGTTCCTTATCCTTACTGTAGCAGCTATTAATTTGTTAATCAGGAAATAGAATAAAAATCTTAAATATTTTTCTAGTTAGACCACCTGGATTAATTAGCATGTTACATCTATTTTAGATTATCTTGAATTTTTTCTTAAAATTTTTAGCATGAGTCCCCTTTGAATATGAGATTTTTACAAAATGCTAAAAATTGTGTACAACTTTGTTTTTGTTATATTTTCTTGAATGTATAATTTAAATTAGTTTTAGTTACTCATTCTCTAGCTTTAACTAGTATATATCTGTTACAAGATTCTTAAAATCAGATAATTTGGAAGACTCAGAGCAAGCTTAAAAATGAAGAAGGTTGGCATTTTGGTTTTTCCAGAAGCCAAGCTTATCTCTGTTGATTCGGGCTGTCACAAGAACAGCACACAAGGCAGTTAAGGTGGGAACATAGCAACATCCTTTTTGGTAGTGCTGTGTTGAGTAAGAATGAGCAATATGATTGCAGTAATGTTTCTGAGAAGTCCTTTGTCCTCCTAGCAATGGAAACTCCCTGCTGAACTGATTTCATATACCTTTGTAATAAGAGTGTGTTGTACTTCTGGTTTCTTTATTTGCCTTTTCTTACTTATAGCTGTGGGAAAATTCCAAAAATCAAATATTTGACAAGATTAGCTACTCTTCCTTGGAAAATAAATTTTTATTTTATTTTTAAGTTTTTGTGTTTTTGATACAGAGTCTGACTTTGTAGTCCGGGCTGGCTTTGAACTCACTATGCAGCCCCATCTTGCAGTGATCCTCGTGCCTCAGCCTCCCAAGTGCTGGCATTATAGGTGTGTGCCACCATGCCCAGTGAAAATAAATTTGTAAATATTACTTTAATACTTAAGGCAATGAGATTAGTGTTACATAGTTATATGGTTACATAGTTACATAGAGTGTTACATAGTTTTATAGATGTTTTTCTGGTGTTAATTAGTGATTGCTGTTTATCAGGTGTAATATCTATAACTAACTTTGAGAATATTTGCTTATTTCTAAATAATACAGCCATTCAGCTTATAAAATTCTAATATTTTTGGCCATTTTGATTTTTTGTTCTAGTCCTGTGAAAATTTCTTTCACATGAAAATGTGAAAGTGACATTATATTGACATCATATTTGAAAATGGGTAACAAAGCACTTAGACCAGAGTTTTGCTTATTCTTAGAACCAGCCAGTTCCTAGTATCAGAGACTCTGATTTCAGATTCAGGGATGGGGTACCACTGTCTTTTAGAGCCTCATTCTAATTGTGTACCAAGGTTGAAAGCCACTGACTTAAAAAAGCATGGCTGACTTTATGGAATAAAGTAAATGTATTTGCAACCAAAGATCAGTTGGGTTTTTTTTACGATTTTATCTTGCTTTGACCCCTTTGTTTTATGAAGGCTATTTGATAACTAACTTTAACTTTCATACTGTGCAGATGTTAACAGCAGAGTGTATTATTGATAAGAAAGTTTGATTTTTTAGTCGAACAACTTAATGTTGATTTTTTTTTTAACTATGTCACTGATACTTAAGGTAGTTTTATAGCAAGAATTGAACTGTCCCCCTTCAAACTACTGAGTCACTCATTTTTTCAAAAAGTTAAAAACACAAATAATCCCCCTCACCACATTTCAACTTGGAGCTCACCTCATTGTTTGCACCCTACTCCACAGGGAAGATGCCACCCCACTTCTCAGCACTAACCTCAAACAGTTGTGCAAGTGGCTTTGGGGATTTTAATGCTGGCTGAAAGGACCCTTTCATAGAAATGCAAAACATGTTTCTTTTCCTTTTCTGGTGCCTGATTATGCTGTCTGTGCAAGTCTGCTAGAAGACCAGGAATAAATCATAAATATGTATGTTTCTGAGACCTGAAGCTGTATAGAATCTGAAGGGAATGAGACTATTTTTTTCATGCCACTTTTTTTTTTTTTTTTTTTTTTTTTGGTACTGGGATTGAATTTGGGACCTTGTGTTGGCAAGGCAGGCGGCAGCGCCACTGTGCTAAATCCTTGGCCCATACCACTTTTCATATTTGAAGTGATAGATACTTGTTTTCATGCAGTATAAAGCATGGCCAGGGCCAAGAAAGTCTCTATCTTTAGAAATAGTGGTATAGGGATCAGAAACCCTTCAAGCCCTCCATTTTCCACTTTCTAAGTGATGATCATTGGTCAAGAAAGTTAACCTTTTGGAACCTCATCTTCTTTACCTGTAAAATCCTTGGCCTGCCTATTTTGCAAGATTATTATGTAAATCAGATTAGATAATGTATAGCAAGATACTTTGGCATTCGCAAAATGTGATGGAGCTGTAAAATATATTATTATAAACCCCAATTTCCAAACAGAACTCCTTAGAAAGGTAAAACAAACTTTCAAAAAAGACAAGTACCATCCTTTGTTTATTTTATTTCAGGATACTTTTATCGGCTGTAACCTGTCCTACTTAGGCATTCAAGATTAGCTATAAACTCCTAAAGTTACAATATTAGGTGTTCCTGGTCTGAAATAAAGAATTGTTTTAAGTCAGGTTTTTCTGTTTGTTTTGAGACAGGGCGTTGCTATGTAGTCCAGTCTGGCCTCGAACCCTCTATATAGTATAGGCTAGCCTTGAATTTGCATGGATCCTCCTACCTCAGCCTCCCAAATGCTAAGATTACAGGCATGTGCTACCATGCCTGGTTTTAAGGAAACAGATAATGGGAAACTGGGGGTCCCATTTCACCTTCTATTCTGTCATGCATAGACTCTGGCACTTTCATTATAGTAGCATTTGTCCAAATTATGATCCAACCTGTGATTTTTTTTTTTTTTTTTTTTTTTTTTGTGTACTTGTGAAATTCCATATAGTCACAGAAACTTTTTTTTTGGTACCGGCAATCGAACTTGGGACCTTGCGCTTGTGAGGCAGGTGGCGGAATCACTGAGCTAATTCCCTGGCCCCATAAAAGCTCTTTTCTTTCCCCTAGTGCTTGTACTGAGCTACATCCCTAGATCTTTTATTTTTTATTTTAAGACAGGGTCTTACTCATTTGGCAATTCTAGCCTCAAATTTACAATCCTTTTGCTTCAGCCTCCTGTATAGCTGACATTATAGATAGGTGTGCACCACTATACATTGCTTTAAAAAGAAATCCCTTTTTAAATCTCAAAGAGTATTGTTTATTATTTAAATAAATATTTCTTTCCTGCTTTCACCTTCACAGAATTCTGAAGGTTATTTATCTCTGAAAGATTTAAAAAATTTACTTTGGATCCTTAGAGGTGTAGAGTAATTTATCACCAGTTTCCTGAGAAGTCTCACTGGTAGTTAGCAGAAGTTCTCAGATTGCTTTTCTTTGTCCTTTGAGAAAATAGGACCTACTGCATTGCATAATGTCCAAAGATTTTATTTGGAATTGGTATTTATTTCAGTCCTCTGAAGCTTAAAATAAAAAGTAGGACTTGGTTCCAACTAGTTTGTTTGTAGGGGGAATATTATGCACTGAGCATTAAAAAACAAAGTCCACCAAGTTTATAACGGCACAGTTTGTAATAGCTAAAACTTGGAAACAGCCCATTTGCCCATCATTTGGAAACTGAATAAAGAAGATGTGGTTTTTCTATAAAATGGAATATTACTCAGCCATAAAGAATGAGAAAATAGATTCATTCATAGGAAAATGGATACATATTGAAGATATACTTCTAAGTGAAATAAATAAGGCGCACATGTGTAAATACTGAATAGTTTCTCTGGTGTGAATAATCTGCAATAATACAGAAGATCCTAATAAGATTACTGACATTTAGAAATGGGAAGAAAGGAGCTAAAGGTGTAGGGAAGGTGGGATGGGTAGGGGAAGGGTAATAAGGGAAAAGAAAAAAATGTGAGATAATGAAAGGATGGAAATAAAGTGTTTGTAGATGGGGAGGGGATGAGGGGGTGAAGGGAGGGCAGGGACAAGGGGAAAAAATGAGAACCAAGACCTGTCATGTAGAGGTACAAGATCCCAACAACGAATGTAACTGTACTGTATCCCTAAAATGTACCAATAAACTCAATTAAAGCTGAAAAAAAACAAAACAAAACAAAACAAAAAACAAAGTCCAGATAGTCTCTAAAAGTTCCAGGATGGAAGAGTTATATATCTGTCTCAATTCTTTCAAACCTTCACATAGAATCTCATACTATATGAATTGTTTGGAGTCTTTCAGTTATGAGACCACACACATGATGAGAATCTTTTGAAATCTATAAGATGGTACATGGATATGTATTATAGTTACTTTTATCACAGTTACTGTGCAGAAAAATCATTGTCTCAGATTTGTGTTGAGAACAGTGATTTTTTTTTTTTTTTTTGAGGCAGGGCCTTGCTTTGTAGTTCAGTCTGGCCCTGAACTCATTATGTAGCCTAGGCTGGCCTCAAACTCATGGCAGTTGTCTTGCCTCAGCCTCCTGAGTGCTGGGATTACAGACATCTACCACCACACCCTTCCAGAGCACTTCTCAAAGCCTAACTTTCTGAGCTTTTATTATTTGAGTATATGAAAGGGATGTTGTTGACTTGTTTTTTGTTCCTAAATGTTTATTGAATAAATATTTACTAGACACGTGCCAAGCGATAATAGGTGCAGGAAATAGGAAATCAGCAAAATCCAGATGACCTTCACCTTCAGTATTTCTGAAGTCTAGAAAAAGAGCCAAACGTTTAACAAAGAGCAGTACAAATGTTGTACAGTCCCTGTTGGGGTGTGTGCTACAAAAGGGAAATAAGACAGTCAGGGAATGGGAACAATGCAGGAGCCATAGTCCCTTTTGATGCTTTCCTTGAGGAAGTATTTAAGATAAGAGTTAAGAGTGCTTCAGCATGGGGAATGTGATTGGTAACTTGTCTATGTGACTTTTT